ACAAATTAAAATAAATATATGACAAAAAAAAACTTTAACTTCAAATTGTTTGTAATTCTATTACCTATATTATTTAATATATATAAATAACGGTAAAATAACTTATTATAAGACAAGTGAAAGTTCCCTATATGTTTTCACAATTCCATGATTTATCTATATGTTTTATTATTTTAAATTTAGACTTTCGACAGTTACCAATATGTTAATATGTTACAGATTAGTTTTTTTTATATTGGTGTTAATTTTTAGAAATCGAAATTGTCCTAATAACATTATGCGAAGGTTTTAAAAACAGTAAAAGAAATATAGAATTTTTGTAATTAATTCATCAAAAGTGTTTCATACCAGTGTTTCCAGTTATAAATAATCATAATTTGATCCCGTAAGTTTTAATTTTTTGTGATAATAAATTAATAGAATGTAAATTTTTTAAATTCTGTTATTTTTTCCATGTTTTTTTCTGTTCTTTTTCTTCTTGATTTGTTATTCCTCGATATTTTTTGGCAGTTATCAAATAAATTTTTGTTTTTAAACATTTTTATCTAACATTAAAACAAAAAATATTTCAAGAGCTTTTTTATTCTTTTAGGAAATTTAAATATCAGCCATGGTTATGAGTATGTAACAGTTATATACTAGTTATAAGTGTGCAACAACGACCAAATAATAATTATGATCATGTGACGTTTTAAATAGGTAAATTGGGTACATCATCACTGTCACGGTCCATCATTTTTCCGATACCTCATCATAAATAATACTTACATTTTTATTTATTGATTTTACACGAACGTTGAAAATATGAGCACCGTGTAGTTTGGTAGATTTGCCGTGAAGATTGGTTATATTATACCGCTGTCTTACAGGCGCAGGGACATTGACGATTAAAAAATAACGTGTAGGTACACGAAAAAAATAAGTTCACCGCGGTGACAGGAGTAGACCGACGGATTGTTGTTATTAATCATTATTCGTTTTTATCTTATTTTTGATTCTGAAGGGTGTTTTTTTAAGGCCACAAATATAACGATTTTTAAGTGCTTAAATGAATAAAACGACATTAAAGAAGTATCTTTACGAAAATCTCAGCGTTACGCTTCAACATAAATACAATTTAGTATTCCATAATCACAAAATGCTTCAAATTGTATACTGATTTCTAAACCAGCTATCAAATTAACAAAATTCTGAGTAATTTAAACAAGATGTCGAAACAATGTTGATTATCTTACACAATATTGGAAAGATCTGATAAAAAATACTAAAGCCCGATAAGATTATAGATATTTTTGATTATATTATAGAGCTACGTATAAAGTAACATATAAATGATAATGCTCCAAAATCCTCACGTGAGCTGAGAGGTTTGAAAGTGTTTTTTACACATCATATAAAGCGGTGACTAGTGAGATTGTATCTTCGTAAGACTTAAATATTTTAATGTAATGCCACATACTATAATTAAAATTTAAAAACTTAACAAGATCAATAGTTCTAAATTCAATTTTTAAAAGTATTAAACTCGGTGGGAATGGAACGGAAAATGGTATAAACAATAAATTTAATTAATAAACTTTTTAATTGAATTATTTATGGAAACATAAGATACCAACTTATTTCTACTGCTATAATCAAAGTAAAATTAAAACATAATATTTTGTGGTACAAAAATTGAATTAAGTACGCGGCTGTCATATTATTTATGTACATTATTTTTATACCACAGTATCAAATTGTATATAATAATTATCCTGACATTTTGATTAAATCTCTTTAAACAAATTATTTATGAGTTTTTGCATATCCGAACTAATTTGTTTGTTGTTTTGAATTGATTCAACCTCGAGTTGTTTTGAAAATCAACTATGAAATATAATTTGATATAGGTACCTACTAAAAATGAATTATTGTATTTGTATAATGTCTTATAAATATATAATAAGAGTTAACATAATTTATTACTATATTATAGTAATTAGACATTAGCTTAGTACAATAGTATCTACATTTAAACTACGTTATTTATTAATTATACACTAGATATTATCCATGTTTTCAACCACGGCGTCTTGAATTCGGAAAAGTAAAACTTGGTTTGGGAGTAAGTCGAAAAAAGTGTCTACATATCTATATTCAGTCATTACAGGTGTAAATTGATGACTAGGCGTATTTACTATTCATATTAATTTCATACTATACATTTTCAAAATATTATGATATTGTGTTTTAATTATTTATAAACTGAAATATTTTTTTCCATAAATATTTATAAACATTTTTTAAATATTATACAAAGATTCTAGAAGTTTCGATAACTGAAATAAAAATAAAAAATTCACTGTAAATCCACAATCTATTATATGAGTATTTGGAATTTAAATCTTAATAAAATGATAATATAATAATATTCACATGTAAAATAAAAATTTGTCCTAAAACCATTTTTGTCGTTTATAATTTTTAAAGTTATTTAATCGTAAAAACTTTAAATAATCAACTATAACTTAAATTATTATTTTTTTCCCAATGAAATTTTATAAATCTAAAGAATAGTTTTAACCAATTTATAGGCTTTAATATTAAATTCTGAGCGGAGCGAGGAATGTATTGAATTTACCATGATGTGTGTATTTTTTTTTATTTTTTTTTTTTGGTGTCTGTCATCACGTTTTGGGACAGTAAAAGTGCTTCGATTTTCGATTTAAATATTTTTCTAAAAATAGGGATAAACAAACTAAAAATTAAGGGAAAACGGGAAATTTTACGCACAATCAATTTTCGAAAAAATCGATTTTGGTTTTTGATTTAACTTTAAAACAAATTACCATAGATATGACATTATCACCGAATGTTTATATAAGTATATTCTATCTACCATAAAATTTTCAAAAAATGTTGACTTAAGTTGAACTATTTATAGGTATAATGCAATGTTTGATCATTATTAGTTTTTTTGCTATAAATATCAATAAAAATGTATTTGTTGGGTAGAAAAGCTTGAAAATTGTATACCATTGTATAACATATTTTTACAATAGCAGTTGAAAACTAAAACAAATTCAGTCACAATTTTTTTTTTATATAAATAAAGTTTAAGTTTTGAAAAAATATGTAAAATCACGAAAAATTGAAACAATTCGTAAACAATTTTCTTTTTAAATCTAAGATTATTTGAAAATTTAATACAAGGCTCCTAACATATTTTTACAAAAATAGTTATAGAAAAATAAAAGAAATATACCTATTGTCACAATTTTTTTTATAAGCATTCAATTTCGAATTTTTACAATATACGTAAAAATCACGAAAATTCGCAAATTATTTTTAAGCTAGAAATTCATAAAAAATTTTCTTTTAATAATCTATAATATATCCTAGACAGATAAACCGTTTCCACTCAGAATCGTTTTTCGTAGGTATACAATGATATAATATCATTGGATTCAAATTTAATTCCATCCTTTACTGTAAAGGACCTTTACAGTAACCTACTTGTAACCTACTGTACAGCGGGGCGACATTACCCGCTTTTATAATTTTAAAATTCTATTTTTTTGTTTTTATTTTTTACAAAAATTGGTATCCTTGGTCAAAAAGCTTAACAAGATTCGTGATGATTTATTCTTATCGAACTTAAAAAATATCCAAAATACATAATAATATGTAGGTTTAGTTTTTTATGAGCATTTCAGATTTAAATTTTGACAAAATTAGTTAGGTTAGATAAAGACTGGAAACTTTTCACTACTTCGTGTCTACTTATATTATTGTTCATGATACACAGTGCAATTTTTAAAATATTTAAAATAATTTTAGGAATCAGACTTTCCACAGGAGCTTTCCGCACTAGTCCAGTTCCCAGTATTCTTTGTATCGTAGGCGAACCTCCTCTACAGATTCGAAGAAATAAAGAAGTCTTAAAATACGCTGCAAGGAAAAAAACCTTGAACACCACATGGCATCACAAAGCATCCTTGAATCCTTTGGTAAATTTTTCAAAACATCGATGAACAAAAAAATATTAAGATAAGCACCGTTGACCAAAGCGTTGAATTCGAATTAAAAGCCTCGCTACTATTATTACTAGTGCGCAATGCGCATAGTAGACGCCGAGTAATCTGTCCATAAAAAAGGAGACTTGTTTAAAATTTATATTTGTAATGTATAAATAAAATCAATAAATATTTAGGTATTTAAGTTGTATGTCAATTGTCAACCATAGTGCTATAAACTTATACATTGTATACTATATGATTGATGGATCATCATACTCGTATTTATCATCATCAAATGGGGAAAGATAATAATAGGTATTAAATTCTGGCCGCAACTCGTCTGTACCCCAAATAAACTATGTTGGCAATTTGAATTAGGCCTTTTTTTGTAGAAATTTATATACGTATAACTACGACAAGAATATCTATTATAGGTATTCTGTTTCTAGGTATTATCAATATTGTTTTAATGTATTGTACTCGTATATTTGCGTTTTTTTATATACTTATTTGACATCATAATACAACATTTCAAATACTTTATCACAATAATAATCAAAGCAATCACTATAATGACGACTAAAAATAAAATTATTAAAAACACAAAAAAATGAAAATAATTTTTTTGAATTTCTCAAGCTTTTGTATAATGTTATGCAATATCCACACATTGAGTAGGTATACGTCATGTCCGGCAACGCCTTATTTTGAGCRTTATAATTATTTTATTTTATTGCTTATAATAAATTATTTCGCTTATTTTAAGAGCGAATTAGTGCACTGTTCATTCTACATGTTCAAAGTCAAGGTCGCTGTCACTTCGACTCACCATTCATTATAATAAGTTGTATGCATTCTCCAGTCTCCACTCGGTGTATGTATAATATTATAATATACCTATATTTTGTATTTTCAGATGGACAACAGGACAACGCCCTATATCTGTATGTCGGTTAGGCGTCTGAACACTCACGACCCACCCCATGTCAGTTAGATACACACCGATTGTATATATAAGGACCACGATATGCCCGTCATAACATCACTACGCCGAGTATCGGAGTATACACATCAACCAAGTTGAAGTTTGCAGATTTGTTGTAGACTCAAAAAGAAATAACCAAGTACAAAATGGCTTCTTTCAAGTATCTGGTGAGTGGCTTTAAAAACACAATATCGAAGCACAGGTTTCATCATCTCATAAATATTGTATATGACCGATAAATTATTATTTTTATAATCGTATGAATTTAAATTTATAAAAATACACAAATTTATAATGTTTCGAAAGATTATCAGCTATTAGTATTATAGTAGTATACTTTTATAATATAAATCACAAATGTAATAAAATTTTCCGTACCTAATATAATTGTCAACGTTTGTATTGAGCACCTGAGAACAGTGAACACAACGAGTCGGGGCCTTTAAGCTTTAAACACAATTATTATATTATATTATCTTGTTTGAGAGCATATATTATACCGCCATTCAATGATGTCCGAACATAGCTTTAAATGTTTAATCGTTACTCTACGCACCAATTACAATTTAAATTAACTTTCCAATGTGTTTGCTATAATATATTAATAAAATATTATTACGCGACATCGTTCTGCTTATATATTATACGATTTAAAAATACAATACATAACTATATAGTTGCCGAGATATCGAAAACTGTCAAGAAATTCTCAAAATATAGGTACACGACTTGAATGAACTCGCTTCTTCATATTACCACCCATGTATAAGAAAATATCAATATTTTGTGTGCATTCATATATTATATGTATATGAAAGTTATAACTTTCATGCACATTTAAAACTTGTATAGACAACAAAAACTTTCTAGATGTGAACTGTTATAATATATATGTTATATATTGATTAAATTCTACTGTCGTAGTGTCATATTGCATTGTACACTTGTACCATTGATTTTAAATACTATTTATAATCAATGCTTGTACCTATATTGTTCTGTGCTTGTACAGATTGCACATTTTCAATTTCACAAAAAAAAATTATTAGAAATAACATAAAAATTAAACAATATAATCAATACATATTAATATAATATGATTCGTGGTTATAACTCTGCACTGTATAATATTACTCACATGGCATCATGGCATTAAATATAAATAACTTGTAATTTGTATTACTAATATTGTTACTATTTACAGATATTCTTCACCTTGGCTGTTTACTCCGTTGTCGCCGAAGAAGATATAAGAGCAAAGAAACATGCTTATATCGCAGCTCGTGAGTACCAATAATATAAATTATAATAAGATAACACATAGCCTATGCTGCCTATGTATGTTTCCTAACCTAACCTAAATGGAATTTGAAATTTCAACTGATTCAAAATGATTCCTAAATGTAATATTTATATATAATAACCTATATGTAAATTCTAAATGTAAATCCAACTAAGAGACGTTCATTGATTTTTTTTTCTTTACAACAGTTTTGGGTTATTCTGCCTCAGCCCCTGGTTCGTTCTCATATGCATACTCCGACTACACCAACTATCCGTACAACTATCCAGTAGTAGGAGGAGCTGCAGCATACCATGCACTCGCGGCATACCCGAAAACAGCTTACCCAGCGACGGCTTATGCCGCCCACGCATACCCAACCTACCACGAAGATGACGGCCAATACTGGCCAGGAAAATACGAAAAGGCCTACATCCCTGCAGCTTACAAAGCCGGATATCCGAGTTATCCCGAAGATGACGGCCAATACTGGCCAGGAAAATACGAAAAGGCCTACATCCCAGCTTACAAAGCCGGACACTACTACTGAACAATAACAATAATTAATAACAATGATTCTCAACCTTCCGCGGAAAAACACCGTAGTCTTTTAATTCTATTTTTTTAAATAAAGACGTAATTTTTTATCATCAATTGATTTTGATGTTATACTTTTTCTTTGTCCGGATTGGGACATGGGACATAAAATATAATAATAGATTTAATTTTATTATTGCGCCTATGGCCTATTATAGTTTAATATATTTGAATAAAAAAATACACAATACACTTGACCACTTCACAAATACTATCCCCCTCAAATAATTTCTTAACATCGAGTTATAATTACAGGTACTATATAGAATATAGATACATATTATATTAAAACATGTTCAATACATTTTCCTGCATTTCTCCTAAAGGGTTATATTGAATTCTTAGGAGGACGTGATACCCACATGTGTTGTCTCCGTCTAACAAGTGCGTAGAAGAACAAAAATCATTTCACACGGAAAGAACCGAGAAATCTACAATAACTAAGAAACCAAATTTTCAGCATGAAAAAAACAAAAATTTTAATGTGTCACAGCGTTTTTATTTTTTCGATAAGACCAATATATCTAAAGTTATTGAAGTTTGAAAAACTTAAAAATATCAGATTTTTAAAAATATTATAATTTTTTTCTTATTAAAGATATCAAACAAATAAAAACGCTACCAATTGAAAATGTAAAGATAGCTGTTAGTGTCGTAGTGGTAATAATAATGACAATGACCATGTAAAATGTAAAATTTGTTGGCGCAATACTAGAATTATTAATTATAGAAAATTCAAAAAAAAAAACAATATATGATAATATTTACGATTAGTTTGGCTATTTCGACCAACACAGCAATGGCCAATGAGTATAACTTATAAGTTTTGAAGGGCACGTTCCGGTATCTAGCGATCACTCATTTTATTCCAGTTATTAGCCATTAGGTGACTGGGAAAAAGAAATATTGTTATTATATTAATTTCACGCTCCAAAATCGTATGGACCTATCTTACTAGGTACTACAGAAACACAATCAGATACTCATAATTTCCATATTCTTAAAAAATTTAAATATCTTAAAAATCTTAGAGGACGCTACACCCGCATGACGTTTTGTCTCCGTCTTACAAATGTAAAACATTTCGAAAACTGTTTTGCGCGGGAAAAAACCACTCAAGTTATAATCCAAATTAAGCAACCAAATTTTTACACTTTAAAGAGGAGAATATTTACTGTGCAACGTTGTTTTTAATTTTTCGATATCACAAATACGATAAAAGTTATTATTGTTTAAAACAACGTTGCACTGTAAATATTTCATCTTTATAGTGTGAAAATGTGATTATTTAATTACAGCTCGAGTGGTTCTTTCCCGCGCAAAACAGTTTTCGCAATGTTTTACATTTGTAAGACGGAGACAACACATTACACGTTATGCGGGTCGCGGGTGTAGCACTGTAGCGTACTAGCGTCCTCTTAAGGAAAAAATACATGTAGACGTTTAGACATGTAGACTGTAGTGATGTAGTGTTCTTATCGCATTAGATTTTTACGAAATAAAACTAAAATATTCAAATTTAAAAATTCTTAGAACTCGCTTAAAAGTTAAAATATTGTGAGAAAAAATTAGAGAACACAGATAATGTTCTTACCTTTAAGTTTGATAATAGGTCAATTCATTCTAATATTAATTTTAACAGCACAAAATTGGAACTCTTGAACAAAATTGCTTACATTGTAAATATACATGACAGAGAAAACATAATATGGGTGTGACGTCCTCTTAATGCATTTAATCGCAAAACACATAATGATATTATGACGTACAACTTAGATGTCCACAATTTTTAAATCTGCATAATTTATTCTGTGAATAAATTGCATTAGCATATTATAATAATTAATAATTAGTTAATGCCAAATGTATAATATGTATTTGGCATAGATAATTCGTTATCATCTGTTCCGATAGGTAAAAATGTTGTGATAACGGAACTTTAATAACTCTGCGAGAGGGGAGGCCCAGATGATTTTTTCCGCCACGACTGTCAACCTTCGCGGTTTTCCTTATCAGCTGTCCACCACCCGCCACCCAACACCCACACARTGAAAATCCCGATCTGCCGTCCTGCTTAACCACAGGAGTTGCAGCTACCTACCCGCGCTCTTAGAAATAGAATCGCGCGTGCGCGACCCCGTGCTCTTTTCCGTAGTACAATCTGCCCGTTGCCGCCGTGTTGCCGTATTGGTAGCCAAGCCATCGTCTGATCGTCAAATTATTATTATTATTCTGTGTCGCCCTCTTTGCCTACGTTTTTTTTTCCACAAAACATCTGGTACGCACTTAACTGTTTTCTTCTTTGTTTTTCGCACTTACGGAATGAAAATAAGTAAATAAAAAAAAAAATATGTATAGCGAGAGGGAAGAGTGATTACACGCATACGCACACGCTCAAACGCTATCGATTTACCACCGTGTTGTTCAGTAATCGCTCTCTATACAAATTATTATAGTCGTAATTTTCGACGAGGCTCAACGGCGGACGTGGTGTGTGTCGATGTAACGATTGTCCTAGACGTCCGAAATAATCATCGTCGTTACATAATAATACCCATAATATTATATTATTATTATACACCGTTTGACGTTTATCAGTCTTCAGACGCGGCTTAAACAATCGAATGGCTCGGCCGTCGAATCGCGTCAGTCGTTGAATTACAACAGCATCAATCAGTGCTATTCACGATACGTGCAAATAATTTGCTTTTAAGTGGTGTACTGTGTGTCTGAGTACATATTATTACATTTTGTCGATTTTATAAATTTTTCATTATTTTTACACTCGGCAGGCAGATACCTTCTTCAGTGTTCGTTTCGTCATCGGGCCATCAACGCATCAACACTATTAGTTTGTCTTCGAGCAGGTATCGCAACACCGCTCCTCTGAATCTGATGTCAACATGAAAAGAGACTTAGCCAAGAAATTGATTGAACGTTATTTCTATCTGATCACAGAAGGTTGTGGCAATGAAGAGTGTGTAAATGATTACTGTGCATCCAGCAAAAGGGTAAGTAATACTTGTGCCCGCTTCTTAGCAATAATTATTTTGTTTTTTTCTTACACTACCCTCTGTATTAGTCCGATTGAAGTCTATAAGTAAATGTCCATTTGGAATTTTATTCTCTACATAGCTATAAACTGCTGTAGATACTGTCCTTGAACATTAAACTAGATTTCATCCAAATATCTCCCAGACAGTATTATTGTCCAGTACCTAGTTAAATATAAATTCTAAGAATTATTTATCTTAAACATGTTATATATACCTATAAATACATGTTAATTTGTAATTTAACTGTATCATTTGCTATATAAGTACTTTATTAAAATGCTCTGAAATATGCTATTTAAGCATGAATGATTTTTATAATTTTAATTACCTTATGCGTATTACAATTCATTTTATATCTATTATTAATCAAGCTTATCACAAAAAAAAATATGTTTTTAATCATAACCTTAGAGAAATGTTAACTAAGTTAACTTACATATTATTGTATCCAAAGCTATACGCTACCTACTTATTATATATTTTTTTTGTTAATTAATACATTTATCTTTTGTATTTAACAACAATATTTTCTGTTTAAATATCATACATTTTATGTTTTTTATACTAATATATTAAATATAAAAGTTATGGTTTAATCCTTCAGTAGTCTTATAAAAAAAAAAACTTTAGATTAAATTTATAATTTATTTTATTTTATGTTTTATCATTGTTAGACTTACTACACATCACAGTAAATCAGTTAGTTTGTGAAACACTCATTCAACCAACCTTCTGAATGTATTAGTACTTCATAGATCATCGGCTAGCTGAATTATCATTAAGTAACTGTTTGGTAAATTTGTATATTTTTAGAATTCTAGTTAGTCTAACATAATTAACTCAACATATTTAATTAATAAATGCATGTGAAATGTAGTAGGTGAAGATTATATGCTGGTGTTTTATTAAAAACAAGAATGATAATCTTTTAACAGCATCTCAATACTTAGATCTAAAAATGATTTATATATAATACTAATTTAATCTACCTAATTATAATATTTTAACTAATATTATGTAATTAATTATTGGGTGAAACATAATTTTAGTTATTATGAACCAAATATTTTAGTTGCTAGTTTCTATTCTAATACTTATGTATTTAATTTATTATCATTTTAAATGTATAAATGTTACTAGAAACAAGTAATATTTAAATTACATCTAAAATTGATACAAAGATACTGTATACTTATTATTTCTGCTATAAAATATTAAAATTAGTCAGATATGCTATTTAGCATTGTGACTCATAATAATATGTGAAATTGTTCCTACCTATAAGATCGCTAAAACATTTCACCAATCATACTACAATATAAATAACAGTTTCAAAAATGTCCACAAACAATTTTAAATTAGCCTCACTCTCATTAAGTCAAAAAAAAAAAAACTTAAATCCTGTCTATAGTTTCGGAATACATTTTCAATTATTGACATATTTTACTTATCTATTATTTCTAATTTTTTTTCAGTGTACTAATGTGGTGTCAGCTAATGATGCAGCTGCTATTGCTATTCAATTATTTCGCCTTGATGCAAGACTGTGTGATCAACACCCTATGAAAGTAGCAAGAACCACTAATAACCCATCAGTGTCTGGAAATACTTTACATGATGCCAATACATCATTAGCTTGCTGTAGCAACACACAAGATACTCTGTGTTTATCACATGATGCTTGTGTGCAAACAAACCATCCATGTACAGTATTTGAAGTAGTCCCTGTACATTCAATTGACTTATCTAGACCATTATCAGATGTTCAAATTACTCAAACCACTAGTACTTGTTCTCAAACAAAAGGTGGCAGTAGTTCATCTTCGTTTAAAATAGCCAATACTGAACCTATGGCCAAAGAACACAATACATTCATTGCACCAATTGTCGATTCTATGGCGGAACAAGAAGAAGATACATCTGTTCAAGTTGCTGCTAAAGAAAAAATTGTTGAAGATGTGTTCAAAAGTATTGACGAATTTTTAAAATCTAATGAACAAAATGATACTACAAGTCAATCAATTAACAAGGATATTTTGGATCGCTTAGATGTTGCTTCACTGAGTATACCAGATTGTATTATACATGATGCAGAAGACATAAACTTAGCCTTCATGGAAACTATGAAAAAAACTATAAAACATATTTCCTCTTTTCAAAATGGTAATTTTATATTATTTTGAACTTCAAAAAAATACAAATTAAGTACGTGTGACAATATTTTGAAGCACATCTTAATAAATTGGGTCAATGTTATTTTTTCTTCAAATTTTGATTGATATTCTTTGTGTGAATTTAAAAAAAAAACATAAATACTACGCAAAAGGTCAACAGACAGTCTTTTAATAGCATAGGCTGGCACAATGTCAGATTATCATTATTTTTATTATTAATATATTATAAAATTGTATATTGAATTAATATCATCTATCTATCATTAAATTTACTTACATAATTGATTTTTGTTAAAATAAAGTAAGTATTATTATAGGTTATTATAGTACAATTGTTTCATACATTTGACAAAGTGCACATAATGTGATTTGTTTATAAATATTGAAGGTCCTTTCACCACTTGGCTCTAATCCAATACATGCGTTTCAGTTATTTAGTGTGTAATTTTACAAATTTTGGCAACAGCAGATATTATATGTTTCTTTGTATATTCTTTGTCTTGAATTTAACTTTTGTGAAGATAATCCTTCTTACTATTGTTTTGTTAGTAATATTATGAATGCTCTAGTAGAATCTCATTCAGTGTATCATGTGTAATGTCTATGCAGTTACATGATGTGTATTTTAGATGTTACAAATCAATATTTTTTAATGTTTCCAGGTATTAAATATTTGAATGAAACCAATTTGATCGAACTAACGAGCCATCAAAAAGGACCTGATCCATTTAAAGATAATAATGAGTTGCTATCTGCTCTATACCAAGTGTTCTCAACACCAGAAGCTTTAGGTAATAGTTTTATAAAACGCCCACCTGAACGCAAAAAAGACTTTCTTAAAGTTCTTAATCATGCTCAGACTTCATCATCCAGCATGTCCAAAGAAAAAGTGAGATTTTTAATCTTCTTGATTTATTTATATGTTTAATGATAGTATGCTATTTAATTTTTATTTATGTAGATACGTGAAATGGAAATTGAAAAAGAGTTGGATGATAACTCAATGTATGAAGATGATGAGGTAGAAGGAGACGAATATTATGGTGAGAAACAATTAGATGTTGCAGGGTTAGCACGAGCATATGAAATAATGAATTCCCTCAATAATGATGAGTTTTTTAAAGATGTTCTATGTTTAGCCATTAGTTCCTTGTGTGGTAAGTATCAAAATTTATAAAACTGTATTATTTCCATTATACAAGCAATATTTATTTTTATTTTTACCTAGCAAAAATCACGGTAGAATTACATTTTTTTAAGTCAAAATCATTTCCAATCAGTGACAAATATTTAGAGGATGTGTTACATTCGCTTAAAATCATCTATGAAATGCCATGGTTAGATGACTTAGCATTTGTAGAGCGTATAATCCCTAGGCTTGTAGCAGCCACATGTGTACTCCCAGTAGCTGAACAAGCTAAACTTGCAAGATTCTGGAGTGAAATGTCGTCAGAAAACACTTTGCGGCGTATATTACACTGCCTCCAAGAAGCTATAACTTTCCAACTAATATCTACTGAATATGATGCAACTTTTCAAGATGAGACTGCTGTTGTATTTGCTACAAAAACCATGAAGGTAATAAATGCTGCATATTGCTATTTTATTGGGGCCAACATTATGACTTAAAAGCTTTTACTACTTCATTATATTTTTGTTTTTAATTTGATAGTAAGTATTACATCATTGTAACTATTTGTGAATTATACATAAGATGTACCAAATCCATTTTATTTAAATGATACTAATTATCTCTAAATTAGCTATTACATAATATGTAACACAATTTTGGTAAGTATTCTATACATATATTAATATCAATTAACTTATGGATTATAGATTTTATATTATGCGAGTATTATGGCCGGTGAATGTGACAGAAATATTGATAAAGATGATACTAAACAGCYTGATAAAATAGAAAAAAAACCAGAAAATGTAAGGGATGAAAATTTACTTGAAGATATCCTTATTAATTCGCATCCAAAAAGTAAAATCAATAAAACCGATCCATTAGCTGAAATTTTAAATGTAAGTCTGAAATTTCATTTAAATATTTTGATTTGATCTGATCAGATATTTGTTTCAGATAAATATTTTGGCCTGTCGTGCCCCTTTAATTCCTATATCCAAATTTTACAATGAGTTATTGAGTGATGCACTAGAAATGGATGATGATTACCAAACTTGGAGAGAAAATGGCAGTGAAAAATTTTCGTATATGTCCCATTCATTTGTACTTACTCCGGCCACTAAGACTCTTGGGCTATACTATGATAATCGAATACGTATGTATGAAAATAGACGTTTCTGTCTAATACAAACATTAATAGGTCAGCCAACTCATCCTTACCTCAAACTTAAGGTAAGGAGAGAACACGTTGTCCAGGATGCTCTAGTTGAAGTAAATATAATTTACATAATTCTTTTACATTTAACATATAATTTATATTGAATTTTCCTTATTCAGCTTGAAATGGTAGCCATGCAAAATCCGTCAGATCTCAAAAAACAATTGGCGGTTGAATTTGACGGTGAACAAGGTGTTGATGAGGGTGGAGTCTCTAAAGAATTCTTCCATCTCATTGTAGAAGAATTATTTAATCCWGACTATGGTAAATATTTTTTACAATCATATTATTTAATTTTATGTTCTTCAATCATATGTAAATATACAATTATATTTTCATATTATTTCAGGAATGTTTGTGATTATGAACTCTGATAGTGGAAATCCTACTTATTGGTTTAACTCGTTTTCATTTGAAACTGCTGCTCAATACTCATTGATTGGCCTCGTAGTCGGATTAGCAATTTACAACAATGTTATATTAAACATTAATTTACCAATGGTTGTGTATCGAAAGTTACTAGGCAAACGATGTACATTCAACGATCTACAAGATTGGAATCAGGTAGAAACTTGTTGTCTTATGCAATATATCAGATAATATTATTTTGTTTTTACACAGGAATTGTACAATGGCTTAAAGAATTTGCTGGATTATGAAGAAGATGACATTGAAGAAATGTTTATGCAGACATTTAGAATATGYTATAAAGATGCGTTTGGTGAAATAGTATATCACGATCTCGTAGATAATGGAGATAATATAACTGTAAACCATATAAATAAAAGAGTAAGAACTAATCAGTTTATTATTCTATAAACTTGTTGAAAATATTTTTGATGCACTATTTTAGGAATTTGTGGATAAATATGCTGACTTTTTATTAAATGAATCAATTGGAGTACAGTTCAATGCATTCTACCGTGGGTTCCAAAATGTTATGGAAGAATCTCCGTTACAATACTTATTCTGGCCTGAAGAACTTGAACAGATAGTGTGTGGCAGTAAAGTAAGATCACATTTCTGTTTTTCTTAGATGGGTCTATTCTAAAAATGATTTTTCAGGTATTTGATATGTCTGAGTTAGAAGAAACTACACTGTATGAAGGGGGATATCACAAAGAAACACAAGTTATAAAAAATTTCTGGGATTTTGCCCATGCACTACCTCGAGTCTCTCAACAGAAGTTACTACAATTCACAACGGGAAGTGATAGAGTTCCTGTTGGTGGTCTTGGAAAATTAAAACTGACAATCACGAGGAATGGTTCAGATTCTGATAGGTATGTATTCAATAAAACATAGAATCACAAAATTCCCTCTTTATGTACATTACATTCAAGCATTGCCTTGTTGTACAGGCTACCAACCGCACATACCTGTTTCAACGTCTTATTGCTACCTGAATATAGCACTAAAGAGAAACTTGATGAGCGACTATCAAAAGCTATCAATTATGCTGAAGGATTTGGCATGATATAAAACCAATAAGTAAAAAATACCCACCTATAAATTGTGCTACGTTGTTTGAGTACAATCAAAGTTTTTAGAAATTAATAAGTTTGTCTTCAAATCTTGTATATTATGTATAATAATAAGTTTGATTAATTTAATTAAATTTATATTGAATTATATCTGCATATTGACGTCATGTTCAAAAAACAACCTGTTTTATTTCAGTTAAGTATTTTAAAAAGAATCAAATTGAAAATAATTTTTAAACTTGTGAGAAAAAAACATAAGTACATTTCACTGAATAATTAAAGACAAAAGAAATTAGTCACWATAAATTTTAACATGCACTGTAGGAAAATTCTAAAAATAAACAAATACATTCATAGAATATAAAAATGTTTATTAACTATTAACAATTATAAATTTGTGTTTTATATTGTAAACAATACATACATAAATTATAAATGTACTTTACTTGATGTTCATCATTAATCAGAAAAGTTATTATAAAAATATTTTCATTTATAAAGTGAATAAATAGCTTACAAAAATATCACAACCCCTAAATATACCTCATTTAAAATAAGTAGTGTATCAAATAAAAGAAGTTTACAACTCATCGTGTGGTACTTTGAATGATTCCAAAATGTTTAAACGAACACTCAAGTCTGCTTTTTTCTCTTGAGTCATTGAACCCTTAAGCACATTGTTGATGCGAACAGTTTCTGTGTGAAAAAACTCGTCACCTTTTTCTAAAGCTTTTCTCATAGTCTTCACGTACACTTCGGCCGACTTTTGTTTTTGCTTTCCCTCGCTGCTGTCCCATAATTTCTCGGCTCTCAACAATATATCTTTGCGTTTTTCCTCAGATTTTTGCTTGGCAAATTCTGATGCTAAGCCATCAAACTTTTCTAATGTACCTGGAAGTCCAATGTACAAGATTTCTTTGCTATGTTTAACAACAAACTTTTGTAATTTTTCCTGATTGAAATCCTCATCATTATATGTATATGGCTCCGACTGGCCATTCACAAATAACTTAACGATTGGAAAATCTTTTTTTGATACACCATACCTTTGATGACAGAAAAATTAATAAGAGCACAGTAAAACAATAAAACAGATAAAACCATCAAACCTGATAGCCAAATCTTCATTGTCTTTTTCTCCATAATCTTTCACAGGTACTTCGGCCACAAGCAAATCTTCTACCGAATTATAAGCAGAACCTAATTTTACAAATTCTTCGTGTTTTTCACCATATGGATACGAGACATCGAATTTGACAATTGACACTTTAAATTTTGAAAGAACCTATTGACAGAGAAACTGTTACTAAATACTAGTGTATAAAATTGATGGTGGATGCTGTTCAAAAATCAGAAACAACTTCACCTAAATGGAACATTCACAAACATTTTACCTTGTCAAAAGTCAACGAGTCTAAAGAAACTATTCCTTTAGATTGTGTAGCACAACATGCGCAAAAAAACAGCGCCAATACCGTCAATGTCTGTACAAAAAACATTTTATCAAAGCAGTAGTTGAATGAGCGTTCGATTCACTAATTCAGACTTAAAATAATAGATAACTACGTTTAGATGTGTGATTTTTGAAGAAATTACTACTGAACATATTGGTAAAGATAATTTATAAAGTATATTTATTTATTATTTGAACTCGAACGTACGTTTGACCACGTATATATAAAAATTGTAAAATATAACAATATAATTTATTATCATTATTGTTGTTGTTACCACAAAATATGTTCATATTGACTGCGGTACTTGTGTGATACCATAGAACTATACGAATTCGTTCAGTGATATCACAGAATAAATAATAATATTATATTCACTGATAGTCTGATAACGTTTGAATTATGAAGAACTGTAAACGACACTCAAGACTCAAGTCCTGCTCGACGTGTAAGGTGTAAGTGGAGAATGCGAATTCGGAAGAAGAACGAATCATAGGTATACTTAATCATGGGAAAAAAGTTATTTAGTAAAACTAACTATCGTGTGCCGTCTATTGGAGCAGTGTTTTAAAACTTAAACCTTTTGCTTGCGAGAATGATGACTGTGAATCCTGTGACAATTATCCGATTTTGTTCCTTTCAGACTTAGTCGCCATGACGGACGATTCATCATCTGAAGATGAAATCACAAAGCGGATACTTAAAGACTCGATTGACACTGATCTACTTACTAACGACTTATACAGCAACAGCCCCGGCAAGAAGCCATCCGACAAAATTAAAAGTGAGTATTAATTTGATTTTTTTTAAAGTAATTCTTAATTACAGAATGTATGAGCATGGCTTACAATTATATATACATTTTGTGGTATAGAAAAAATATACGGTATTAAAAAACAATGATTTTGTTCAATTTAAATCAATGAACAATTAACAAATGTGTTGTAAAAAGAAATTAACCTGAGATTTTATTTTAATTCATAATTTTGTTGGAAGAATTTATACGTGTTTCCATTCCAATAATTATCAATCTACTAAATCATTAAGATTTCTGGATACCGAATTGAATTTTCTTGTATATTCGACTTTATCCTTTTAAATATTATTTTTAAAAGAAAGTAGGGAACAAATGCATTTTACCACGCACCTCACGAATTTTGATTTTTTATTTTTTTTAAAAGACGTGTTTTTCAACGCTGATTTCGAAACTGTTTGAATTTTTGCGCGGAGACAATTATTTTAGAAGTTATAGCCCCTCAAAGTTTGCGATCTTATGTTTATACTCATGCGCGCAACACTACTGTACACTACTGCCGCGYRTAGCGCGTAAAACGGTTTTAGATTTTTTATTTCCCCGATGACAATCTTAAATTTCAAATCCGATTTTCCTAAATTATTGTTGTTTATTGTATTTATATTTTATACGCATAATGAATAACCTATATAACAGTCAATACAATAAACCAACATATATTAATAAACAGTATTATCGGTTTCTTCATCATTATCTGTATCGCTGTTATCATCACTTTCAGAGTTGCTTGCGACATTGACATTTGGGGCATTCGCGTTTTATAAATGTCCAACCAATTAAAAAAATTCTATTAATGCGTAATTTCTATTTTTAATCTGTTTTAGAAATATGTGTTTTGCGAGATATCCTCCAATAAAATGTTTTTTCCGATTGTATTGGGGCAGTGTCCCGGAGGTTTCACAATTGAAAATTTTGAAAATTTTGAAAAGTTTTAAACTCGACATTATAAATTACAGTATTTAAATAAGAATGTATGAATAATCACCTACTGCTCGCTATTGCACTGTCACGGGCAGACTATATAATTTTATAATATTACAGTATTTATTTTATCGTATTAAGGTACCTATAATTATTTAAAAAATTAAATATTATGTAATATAACTATTATAAATTAGGATATTTAAGAAAAGAAAGCACATTTTAATTGGTTTTCGTTCTATATTTACATCAATTTCGCTAAATAATATATTTTGTAATTATCTTATTACCAAATTGTATAGGTATTATTACTAATATGCATATAGCATATTAAATTATCTCTATGATTATAGAATAAGCTATATTAAGTTATTTTGCAATTATTATCAGCTATATTGTAATCACACCCAGTGGCGCCGAAGTCCTAAAAATCTAATAGGGCGAAAAATATTTCAAGAGATCCAACATCTTAATATTAGATAAAATTGCATACCGTGGAGAGGAAAATGGTCAATATGAATCGGCCCTATCTTACATTTTCAAAATAAGTCGGGCCATGGCCCGACCTTAACATAGGGTTCGGCGCCACTGAATTCACACCTGTTAAAATAACATAAGTAAAATAAGTGTATAGTAGCTCACTTCGCCTACCGGCTCCGGTCGCCCAAACTCGAGTTGCTCTGCGCGGCAGTAAAGTCGCGCATGAGTATAAACGTAAAATCGCAAATTTTGTGGGGCTATAACTATCAAAATAATTGTCTCCGCGCAAAAATTCAAACAGTTTCGAAATCAGCGTTGAAAAACACGTCTTTTTTTTAAAAAAAATATCGAAATTAGTGAGGTGCGTGGTAAAGTGCATTTTAGCCGAAAGTAGAAATTATAATATGATTTCTTCTTTCTACTTATGATTTTTTTTTTGAAGAAGAAGTCAGTAGTTGCTGGGCAGACATGTCTGTGAGACTGTGAAACATTTGTTATTGATATTTTAGATATTTATGTCAAGTTATCAATGAAATAAGAAGTTTTTTTCTGTTAAAATTTTATGATTTCAATTTTTTTTTTTCAAGATATTTTTACAATTATATTTTTGATACCACTTAAAACTCAATATTAGTAAATATATTTAAAATTAAAAAGGTATTCAACAATAATAATATACAAGTCATATTTGACTTTGTGGAACTATGAGCAATTATTATGAATCTTACTCAGATTAATTTAACTGAATATACAAATGTTCCTGGCTATTCTGATAACGATAAGTATCTAAGCATTCTAATTGAGAGATAAAMTACTTATAAAATAATTTTTATTTTAGGTATCAATACTGTACCAATTAAACCATCTCTTAGGTATATTATCGAAGACGATGGACAAGGACATCATCATAATTTTATCAAGGTGACTCCCGAATTTCAAGAATTTGTTGCTAAAAGCTTAGACAAACATTTAGAAAGGTAATATTTAATTTAACACAAAGTTAATAAACTCTTGTGACTAACTGCAGTCTTTAAAATGTAGGAATTAATGATATCCGTTCAATATAGGAGTTACTGAAACAAAATTTAAATGTAGTGACAATAGTTAACAAAAGTTAATGTACTTATATATATATTATTTAAAGATTATGTGTTCTTGCTTGTTTTTATAATTATATTGGATTTGATTTACAGACAACCATCATCTTACCTTATTCTGTTTTCTGATATCACAGACTATCCAAGTGAAAAATACTTAATAACATAGGCACATATAAGGGATCTAGGGGCTAAGCCCCCATATCCCTTTGTATAGCCTCCCCCCCACACAAACACACACTTTATGTACCTATGCTTAATAGTACCTATAATTTATAAAACATTGAAAAGTCAAATTTTAAAAATAAATTGTAAAATATAATAACCAATAATAATAAATATTAGAATTTAAAACTATTGTATAAAGTTTAACTAGGATCATAATTACCAATGCTTCTGGGAATATTTTTAATTTAGTAATAAATAATAATAATGTAGTGGAAGCGATGGCTATTCTAAAGGCTATTGAGATCATTATTCAAGAAGAACATTCAAAGTTCATCATCCTTAGTGACTCACTAAGCGCCATAAAAAGCATCCAAAACCATTTCAATCCTGGGGACAATGMAACAAAAATTCAAAACAAACTAAATGAAACATATGAACACGGAAAAAAAACCATTTTCTGGATACCCGGACATGCAGGAATAAGAGGAAACGAAATAGCAGACGAACAAGCTTCACTCGCAATAAATAATACAGATACTCTCTTGATAGAACAAATATCATACGATGACACAAAAAATTACATTAAAATAATTATCAACGACAAATGGCAAAACATCTGGTCCAAACAAAATACCAAACTCAACGAAATCTAAGGTAAAACCCAATGGTATAACCCTTTACTCAAAAGAAAAGAAGAAACAGTAATAAATAGACTACGGATAGGATACACTAGAATCACACACGGTTTCCTTATGGCCAAAGAGGAACCCCCCATCTACACAACCTGCGGAACAAATCTCACTGTCAAGCACATCATATCGGACTGCATAAAGTATAATCAAGAAAGGATAAAATACGGGGTATCACACAAGACAACCTCGATGCAGCCCTTGGAGCCAATCACCAACTCAACGCAGATTTAATTAACTTCCTCAAGCAAATCAATATTTATAACCAAATCTAAACATGTAAGCAAACGTAATGTAAAAAATAAAATAACTAATGGCTTTTGTTGCCGAAGTTGTAAATGATCAATAAAAGAAAAAAGAAAAATAATAATGTTATTCTCATTATTGAAAAATAATTATCAGTGTTTGGTGCTTATGTATTGGTTGATTGTTTGTGAAACTAAATAAATAAAATGTTGATAATTAAAGAATATATGGGATAAATCAAACCAAAAAATCAGTTTTAGCATTTTTACAAATACATAAACTTAAACAAAAAAATAATAAAACTAATTCATGCCATAATTATCATGATGATACACAAAACAAAGATCAACTTAARAAGAAAGAAAAACTGTGGTCCATTGGTCAATATTTCTTAGTACCTTGTAGGTAACCAAGAAGGTAAACCATAATTTCAAATACGAATAGATAATGAGGTCTGGTAGGAGGTTGTACACTAAATGATTACCAAAATATGATATCTTGTGTTATTGAATAGTCAAATAGTGTGTTTTGTATTTACCCCTCCAAAAACACGTTAAATGTGCTTGATGCCAATAATTTCAAATTTCCCATATCTGTCATATTCTTTAAATGTTTTTCTTATTGTAGAGCCCTGTGTTAAATATAATATACTAAGAGTATTGTGTTTTAATCTTTTTCAGCAAAATAATTGAAAAAAGAAAAAAACATAAAAAACTAAAAATAGACAGTACCAATGAATCAAAAGGTATTCATTTATTTAATGGATCAGCTAAATTACTCAACTCTTCATACGATGAATCCACAACTGGAGTAAAGAGGAAACGTCATCTTAAAAATACCAGTGATGAAGTCATATTACAGCGTGCTTCTGAAACAGCTGTGTCACCTGAATGGATATTAAACAGAGATGCAGTTCATGGTTGGGCAAATGTGACCAAAGGAAAAATTATGAAATTGAAAAGTAACAGCGAAGGAACATTTGATATAATCAGTGATGAAGTATAGATGTTCATACCATAGCTCTTAAAAATGTATAATAAAAATATGAAAATGTTTTATTTACCAGACACTGGCGTATTATTATAAAGTATTGGTACTACTTGTTAATAAAACTAAAAACTATTCTCTCCTTGGATGATCCTTCATATTATGTATAAATATATGCTAATTGTTACTGTAATAATATAAGACGTAACTATACAACAGCTATGGTAGGTAAATTTATAGTATGTTGCATGTAAAGTTAAATTTGAATATTACTCAAATATAATGTTTTTATTTAAATTTGGCTTGACAAGAAAAGGATTGTTGCCCTTGTCGTGTAAATGATCTGTTTTTACTATTTTATTAATTACAAAATATAACAAACTTATTTTAAAAATTGCCAGTTTATTTTTAAGTTGTTCTGTACCTTATAAATTATAAAAACTATATTTTGTTTATTTATTTAAAAAACCTAAACTTCTTTCTGTTTGTCTCTAATAGAATAATTTGATTAGCCATGTAATTCACCATAAATTAACCAATATTTAGCCAAAAAAATTTTGAAACATTTTTTTTAGTTACTCTTCCTAAATTTGAAATAACTAGGTAATTAGGGCTATATTGATCATAGTTTTCTTTGTTCTGAGATTTTTCTAGGATCATTCTTTCACTTCTGAATCGACGTGCAAAATCAGCATCATCATACTCTACCAAAGGGTCATATCTATTTCGATAAACACGCTCTTTCGGTAGTATTACAATAACAATCGTCGCAAATTCATCATCTGAATCTGATGACGAAAAGGTCATTTCATTTCTATCCATAATGTAATTTAACTGTGTAGGTATTTATTTCTTGATTAATTTGTGAATATATAATAATATGCAAATTGGCATTTTATTCAAAAATAGTAAGAAACAAATACCTCATTTGCTATCTCATTAATATGTTGATAAGGTTTTATTAATTTTATTTTATTGAACCAATAAAACTTATTGGACCAAAATCGGGCCTATAAATGTATGGATCAATAGTGACTAATGGTCGATAACTTATTGGTGCAATAACTTTGTGCAACGTATTTTAATTGTTATTGACTCAATAACTCAACTTATTGGACCAATAACTATTTATTGAACCAATATAGTTTTGTGCAACCGGCCCTAAATCAATTAAAACCAGCTGAAAGTAAATATGTGTTATTTCTGTTATGAGATAACCATTTTCTCATGACTAGAGTAAATTATAAATTTTAGAGTAGAAGCTTAAAATTACTAGATATATTCTTAATAAATGCATTAATGACATACACATGTCACATGTTATTTGTTTCATTAATTGTTTGTTCACAGCAGATTAAGAAGTACACTGTGCGTATTCTTTAAACTTTTTCAATTCACATTTTGTAAACCAATCATATATTTGATATAATATATCATTTTAATTATCTTTCTACATTTTAAGCCGATTATTAAGATAAGTTATCGTGAACTTATTAATACATGATGTATATAATATATTTAAGAAATTAATTTACTATCTACACCATAAGTTGACAATAAGGTAGGTACCTTTTATAGGTAATTCAAATAATATAAAAACTGATGGATTATTAGATAATGAGAAA